GGATGAATAGTGAATTAAGGTTGATGTGATGTGTATAAATGATTGGTTGGTATTATTTTATTATATTGATAATATTGATGATAGTGGGGTTGAGTTAAAGTTGGGTTAAAAAAAGTGGTTGAGTTAAAATGTTGAAATTTTTTTGTGAGATTTTTTGTATACAAACATGCTCTTAAAGCTTTAGCTTAAATTGGTTTCCAACTTGAAAAAGGAATCAATTATCAATTCAGACTAGAGTGCCTTCGGCTGTGCATGCACATCCGGATTCAAGTTAATCTATCGATATGCGTAAAATTTGAGCATTTATGAATTCAATTAGTAAAAAATTAGTTTTTTTAATTATAGTTAAGTTTAAAAAAAAAAAGTAGTATGGTTAGTTGTTAGTGGATATATTAAAATAATATTTAAATTAAAATAATTAAAGTTGATTTAATGTAAAAGTAAGAGAAAATAATTGGAAGTGATGGTTAGTTAAAATTATGTGAGTGGATGAATAGTGAATTAAAGTTGATGTGATGTGTAATAATGATTGGTCGATATTATTTAATTATATAGATAATATTGGAGATAGTGAAGTTGAGTTAAATTTGAGTTTTTAGTGAGATATTTACTGTAGAACTTATAAACAATCACGCCCATAATTAAGTGCTATGATTAAGCTCAGTCCATAATTAAGTTGACAATCCGAGTATTTAGTATTGTATTTTATCGGTTTTAATATGAAGTCAACAGTTGTCTTCATAGTGGAGCCAACCTTCTATATATAACAAGTAAACATACCATATTTTTTTATTGCTTAAATAACACTAATATAATTTTATTAATATGGTATGATTTATTTGCTGTATATAGAAGTTGGCTCCACTGTGAAGCAAACTGTTAGTTTCATAACAAAACCGTTTATTTTATAACTGTAAGTAGAATAATTGGTACAATAATAAATGTTTGTGGATGATTTTATTTTGATAAATATATGGCCCAATTTGATTTTCATTCGGTGCTTTAATTAATTGCTATGACTTTTCTTTTTCATGTTCTGGAAAAATTAATCGTAAGCAGTGTTGTTAAAAAGTTGTATCTAATATGTTGTATCGTAAGCTATAAAAAATAGCAATATGTGGATTCCATGTGGTTTAGAATGATCATCATGTGATGTATCAAATTTATTATTTGTGGTTGTTTAATCTCTCTTCAAAAGATTCAAGACTTCTTATT